GAGGTTCTCCTGCTCGTACTGAGCTGCAAGTTGTTCTTCATCCCCGAGCTGCGTCTCTTCTTCCGACGTCTGAGCTACATTATTAGTAGCACCGGGAGTTGTTTGTCCGCTGGTTTCATTTCGTGCAGCGGAACTTGGCGAGTTGAATATCCCTCTTCGGATTCCCACCGGATTTCCTGCACATAAAGAGCGAACACGTGTTTGTATATTATTGACGTTTTGACTAAGAGATACCTGGGATGTTTGCAACGTATCGACGGCCTTTTCCACATCCGAGAATTTTTGTGATATGTCCGACATGGTTTGCTGCATAGCTTTGAGGGTTTCGGCCAATGATGTCTCAGCAGCGTCTCCTCCGGACATTGTTGCTTATCTCGGAAGTGTGATAAAAAAAAAATCTGACCACTCAAGAACCTAATGTCCCCACAGGCGGCGCCAAAATGTGGAAGTCGGATTCACACACTCAAGTATTTTGTTAAGTGGGAAAGATTTTTCTTGAGGGACAAAAATGAATATGTAAAAACTTATAAATTGATACGAAAATTGCTATAGTATTTCTCTCTTGAGAGCAAGCTCCCTTTTACATGGCCATTGGCCTCTATATTTATACATAGATAAACGACATTAAAATGAGTAATTAAGTACAATTATTTCTTCTTAAATGTGTCCGTTTTGATTCTTCGGCTTTAATGCTCAACGTTTGAATTTGAGTTGACTCTGATCTTCATGGGCCTCGCCTCTTTTGGCCCAAGCGTCCTTGAACCGACTTACCCATGTCTTCTACACCGAACTCGTGTCACCGTGCAGTCAGTTCGGATTCCCTAAATGATGACAACCACTTCGACCGTCCCTTCGGCTCACGGGTCCAATGGGCTTCATCCTTTATGGGCCATTATCTTGATTACGTGGCAATCTTTGGTTGGTCTCGTACTTCTGGTGCGGGATCCGACACCAACAATGCACATACTACAATTATCGAATCCAAACCGTCGAACAAAGCAAGTGAACAGTACCTGGCTTAGGATAAACGTTGGCGGCACACGAAGGAGACAACATCAAAATATATACATAGAGTTATAAAGTTTTTTGGACATCCATGCACTACACATTGATGTCTCAAGTATGAAACCGGATCGTGTCGAAATGGAGAAGCGCGTAGAGGCAAAAAATGGCAAATAGTGGGCTAATTATTTACGTTGTTTTGGGTCCGACAACATTTTACCGAAAATTTTATTTCCTCCAAAATCTTTGTCTCTCAGCTAATTATCTCTATATTATATCTGTGGAAACATGTAAAATACAATAGCAAGTAGTCTTGAATTTTTGTAATTAATAAACTTGTAGATTTCTTGTAAAATACAATAGCAAGTAGTCTTGAATTTTTGTAATTAATAAACTTGTAGATTTCTACTCTCAATTCAATTTATGATTATGGAAAACTTGTTACTACTATTTTATACTCCCCCTGTACCATTTTATAAGATGTTTTGTGTAAAAGCACAAAGATTAAGAAATAATTAGTGTTTACTTTTTTATAGAAATTCAGCCAATAGAAAAAAAGACTGCAGAATTTAAATGGTCATAACATACTAAATAAACATAAATTATGCATAGAAATTTGAGAAAATCTTATAAAATGGAATAAGAAAAAGATGCTAAAACATCATATAATTTGGGACAGAGGGAGTATATACAGTAAAAACATGTTTGGTCCAATTATTATGGTTAATAAATGAACATTTCTACTCTATTCAATTTATTATTATGGAAATTTAAGTCATTAAATGTAAGCATTACTATTTGTGGTCTTTCAACTCATTTTTAGTTTTTTTTGGTTAATTGAGAAGTTTGACCGGAGTGACGGAGTCCATACATTTGTTTGGAAATCATTTGTAACAAATCAAAATGATTTGTAATTCTATGAAAGAAGCATTATGATTGATAAACTTATGGTTTTTGCCTTTATTATCTTAATATCTTATTATTCCCTTTTTTGACATTAAAGCAAATAACATTTATTTTTTGTATAGTTACAAAAAAAACTTCTTCACTTGCCGTTGTCGAAACTGTGGACAGCTTAAACCTTCTGTATAGTTCTGGTGGTTGCCGTCGTAGCATCCCATGCCTGTGAAGCTGTAAAATCCCACCCAAAAAAAAAGTCGTCAAAACATTACCTTTTCAATTCACATAAAAATAAATAATATTTAGAAATTTGGTACTAAATCAAACCTGCACGAGATAAACCAGAATTATCGTCAGCACCAACATGCCACGAGAAGTAACCGAGAAGACCTCTCTGCTTAGCGTATCTAACTTTCGTCACAATACTCTGATTATCGTCATAACCAATCCAAGTTGTGCCGGCGTAACAATAATCTCCGACTACCGTCGAGTTATAAACCGTTGTTGCTCCGTTATCTACTATAAACTTCCGTATCCGACCGTAACCTATCGAACCATCCGGTGATATCGCCGCTCCGGTGGTAGGCGCGTAGTAGCTGTGACTGTTGGCGTTTGTGAGACGCCACGCGTAACCGTAGTATGGAAATCCCAAGACTGCTTTCTTCGCCGGAAGTCCAGCTTGAATCCATGACCTCGCTCCCGCGTCTCCGCTTGGACCTATTATCACAAACCGGGTTTAATAATTATAAACAAAACCGATATGTCCGGTTCGAACCTTGGCGAGATAACTAAGTTGAACCAAAGATTTTAAAAGCTTAATTTTGGTAATATGTTTTTTTACCGAGTCAAAACCAAATTTAGTGCAATTAAACCAAACAAAACTGAAATCTATCAAAGTTGGCATTATCTTTCGGTTTTAAATGGTTTAGTTTAGATGTTATTATACCTGCGTTTGAAGGATCAAATAGAGCGGCTGGTGGACCGGTCACTCTTGACCAACCCGGTCCGTAAAAATCATAAGCCATAAGATTAACCCAATCCAAGCTGCTAGCAACGGATTGAACCGGGTACAGTACCGAATAGTAATTGTTGGAGTAGAAAACCGCAGCTGCCAAAAGCAAACGCGGTTTACCGCTGCTACTAGCTTCGGCTACAACAGCTGATCGCCATTCTCGAAGTAGTGTCCCGAAGTTGGTCATCTCCGTCGCGCTGCTCGGATACTCCCAGTCTAGATCAAGACCGTGGAATCCATAGGATCTAGCGAGTCTTATCGAAGAATCAATGAACGATTTTCGAGAAGTGGGGTTACTTGCCATAGAAGCATACGCGGTTTTATCTGCGATTCCACCGCCGATAGACAAAAGGGTTTTAACAGAAGGGTTTCTGCGTTGGACAGTTTGTGTAAAGGTTGAGAATTTAGGTTGGTTCGCGGAGGCGACAGTGACTTGATTGGTTTGGGAGTTGAGATCAGCGAAAGCGCAAAAGAGATGAGTGAAGAGAGATGAGTCAATGTCGGTAACCGGAAATTCACTCGCAGGGAACCAATACGAAGCTTTTACGACAGTTTGTGCCGAGGAGGATGGGAGAGAGAGGAAGAATGTTGTGGAGACAATGAGCGAGATGAGTTTTGTTGTAGACATTTTCGAGTTGCTGTGAAAAACAGAGATGGTTTGTTGTCTATTTATTGAAAAAGTATATTTCATTTTCTTACGTAATTCAACTTTGAAAATGAGAAATCTAGGAATAATATCTTACGAAAGAGAAAAGTATTAGTTGGGGCAAGATTTTCATTTTTGTCAACACACAAGTGTAATATGAATGCGAAAGCAAGGACCAAGAGACACATAATCAACTACATTTATATCAAAGTTGAATTTTCTACGCACGTATCCTATAGAATAATATTCCAAAAGCTTACGAAAGATTTTGTTTATATTATTAAATGTTTTCCGGTCTAACAAGTAACCAATGGCTCATTAGTGAAAGCGTCTGGTGCTGCCAAGTTCCATGTGGAAAACTAGGGTTCCAAGAGTAGAACTTTCTCCATTGGAGAGACGTGTTGGGTTAAAGATGGTTGTGAAGAGTCTCTGTCTACAGAGAACTGCCAAAAGACAAAAACAAAAAATTACCTTCTTCAAGCTAAGTATCGGGTATATATATCATTTGTTCTATGAAACTTTCTCATTAAACAGAATTAAAAGAGTTTTGGTCTCATAGGCCACTGCAATCAAATTAGCATGACGTATCGGATTATATATGAATTGACGGATTTGGGTCAATAATAATACGGGACGGTATACTACATATGAAATCCTAGAATTAACAATCAAAATATAATTATACAATTGACATCCCTATGCCGAACTCTCTCATGCAAAACCAATCCCTTAATCACTTGATATCCTCTCCTACTTATTCTCAAAAAAAAAAAAAAAAAAAGTTCCTCTCCTACGTATTTGCTACCAATCACTATACACATGCTGATGTTGCCAGTGTACTCCACGAACTCTTATCAACTAGTATATGTGTGAGTCTTTATGTTCAAGTGGGTAATTTTTTTTGAGTATGAATGGGGTACAACAAGTGGGCATTTTGGGGACAGCACGAAGGACTCTCAAGAACCAATTCCCTCCCAACTAGTGTGTGCTTATGAGTGTTTTCTTGTTAATATTTGAGTTTCCACTTCTGTTCTTATCACATTAATACAGCCGCCACGGGCTAATTATCTTGGTTGTCCTTTCTAGTCCGTCATTGTATGAGGATCACGTGGCTGACCAATACTCAGTCTACACCAAACTTTCCAAAACTAGCTTAAGATTAGCTAGGGGAAAATCTGATCAATGTGAGACTCTTAAGATAACATTTAACTTTTCGGGTTGAGATAACACACTGAGAAGAGAAGGGTGCATTTTAATTTTTAAGTATTGAGAAAAGTCTTCTTTTAACATCATATTCATCTCCTTTATATATAAAAAAATACATCATATTCATCTTCTAATGCTCACATCACCCCCACAAAATACATCTCTGTAACTTAACGTTAAAAAAAGAAAACGCACGGTCCTAATCCAGTGATAAATAAACTTAAGATTATTAAATATGGTTTCTTTTCTAATTAAGAAAAGAAAAGAAATGGTTCTTGCTTCAATTATATATCCATATCATATTATTCCTTGTTGATTTGGCAATAAATAAGCAAACAACGTATATTTTTGCATAGTTTTACAAAAACAAAACTTCTTCCCTTGCCGTTGTTAACCTTAAAACTTCTGTAGGATTATCGTGGTTGCTGCCTCTTATTATCCCATGCCTGTGATGCTATAAAATCCCCAAAATCCCAAAATAAATCATTAAAAATTTACCTTTTCGTTTCCCATAAGAAAAGTAACGAATATTTTACTTATATAGAATTGGGATAAAACCGAACCTGCACGAGATAGAAGAGAATTATAGTCAGCTCCAATGTGCCACGAGAAATAACCAAGTAGACCTCTCTGCTTAGCGTATCTCACTTTCGTAACAATACTCTGATTATCATCGTAACCAATCCAAGTCTTCTTGGCATAACAGTAGTTCTGGACCAACGTCGAATTATAAACCGTCGTTGCTTTGTTACCCACTATGAACCTTCTTATCTGATCCGATGGAACCGTCAGGTGATATCGCTGGTCCGCTGCTATTAGCGTAGTAGTTATGATTCTTGGAGTCTGTGAGACGCCAAGCGTAGCCGTAGTATGGAAATCCCAAGACTGCTTTCTTCGCCGGAAGTCCAGCTTGAGTCCACGCTCTCACTCCGGCGTCGCAGCTTGGACCTATATATTAGGTTATGTATCGGTTTTATGACTTTATCTTAGCTTAGTTCGGTAATTTTTTTGTACCTGTGGTTATAGGATCGTGGAGAGGAGCTGGTGAGCAAGTTACTCTAGACGAGCCCGAATCGTAAAAATCATAGGCAACAAGATTAACCCAATCCAAGCTATCGGCAATGGCTTGAACCGGGTGCAGTACCGAATAGGAGTAGAAAACCGCAGCCATCAAAAGCAAACGCGGTTTACCGCTGCTTCTAGCCTCTGCTATAACCGCCCATCGCCATTCTTGAAGTAGCTTCCCGAAATCGTCCATCTCTGTCGTAGTGCTCGGGTACTTCCAATATAGATCGAGACCGTGGAATCCATATGATCTAGCGAGATTAATAGAAGAAGCAATGAACAATTTTCTAGAGGTGGGGTTACTTGCCATAGACGCAAACGCGAAATTATATGTGAAATCACCGCCGATAGACAAAAGGGTTCTCACGGTAGGGTTTCTCCGTTGGACGGTTTGTGTAAAGGTGGAGAATTTGGGTTTGTTCCTGGAGGAGACAATGACTTGATATGTTAGAGGGTTGATGTCAGCGAAAGCGCAAAATAGGTGGGTGAAGAGAGATGAGTCAATGGCGGTGACCGGAGATTCACTCTCCGCAAACCAGTACGTAGCTTTCACGGCGGTTTGGGCGGAGGAGAATCGTAGGAGGAGAGATAAGAAGAAAGTGATGGAGATGATGAGTTTTGAGGAAGACATTGTTTGAGTTACTGTGACAAAAACGAGCGTGGTTTCGTTGTCTATTATTTATCAACCATTATTTTTTCTACACAAAAATGTAATATGAATGCGAAAGCAGGGACCAACAGACCAAGTGACACATGATCAACTTCATTTATATCTAAAGTTGAAATTTCTATTCACTTATACTAAAGAATATCCAAATGGTCATGTATATATATATATATATATATATATATATATATATTAGATTTGGATTTCTTGATTAACAAGAAATTAATGAGTACTAGGACAATATAACTCATTGGTGAAGGCGTCTGGTGCTGACAAGTTCGATGTCAAAAACGAGAGTACCGAGAGTAGAACCTTCTCCATTGGCGAGACGAGTTGGGTTAAAGATAGTCGTGAAGAGTCTCTGTCTGTCAAAGAACTGCAAACCACAACAAGAAACAAACAAAGAATTTTTAAACCAATCTTGGTACTATATGTTTCTGCAAACAATCTTAAATTATATGATTGGTTGTCTAAAACTTTCACATTAAACAGATTAATACAAGTTCAAGTCCCATTGGCCACTGAACATGATGTAACACAAAGACCTTATGAAGATTAAAGTCTATGAAACTAATTCAAGTGACTTATCAAGATATGAAATTCTAAGCTGCTTTTATTTCACTCTGAATTGAAGTACAAAACAGAGAAACAAAGAGGAAACCAACCAAAGAATCAATATAGAGTCCTAGGGTGGATGCTATACAATACCAAACTCTCTCACGCCCAAAAGCAATCCCTTCATCAATCATCACTTGATACCCACTCCTAATTGATTTGATCCCAATCATTATACATATGCTGATTTGGCACCTCGAAGACTTCTTATCTTCTGCATAAGTGAATCTTTTAGTTTAAGTGGATAAATACTTTTGGTAGACTGTATGGTTTAAAATGAATGAGGGAAAACAAGTGGCTGCAAGAATGATGTGAGTGTTGTCTTTTAGGAACAAGTAGTATGTAATGAGTGGGGGTGAGATTGAGGTGAAATTGGATTTGTGAGTGGAGTTTTAGGGACAGGAGGAGGAGACTATAAAAACCAAATCAACGTGTGTGTTTTATGTGTTTATTCTTAATATTTGAGTACTAGGCCTAAACCAAAACTAGCTTATGAGTGTGATGCACTAAGGGCATTAGCTAGCCCCAAAGCTAATCCATGTGGGACTCTAAAATAACACTTGACTTTCAGATTGAGATATTATACGAAAAGGTTAAGGAGAGAGAGCGAGACGTCAGAGTGTGTGCACATACGTTTGGTGGGAGAGGTTCTTGTGATGTATTCTGGTATCCTTGAGATGGAGGTATAATCACGCGACGAATCCCGCCTACTTTCATCGACCTTACGGCTGTTTCAATCCCCGGAATTACCTGCACATCACAATGTTTCAGTCATCAGACTCAAACCAGCTTTGGTCAATCACAAAACAGAGATCAAAACAGTATCAACTTGAGACACCTAAAATAACCACTTAGTTTGTTACACCACTATTCAATGAGGAAATGTTTCAAAGGTCACACCTTTAAATCAAATTCAGATAATTTTTCAAGACCCATGTTACAAAAGCTTGGACTTTATGTAACACATGATTGGGATAGAAGCAAACAGAGATAAAGATGTATACTTTGCTAGTACCAAGGACGAATGTGAGAGGAACAGATTCACCATTACTGTCTTTATGATCATATGTTGAACCAAATCTCCATCCTTGCTTCGCAGCCAATCTCCCATAACAATGTATTACAATCTAAAAATCAGAACTTTACAAAATTGAACTTTGATTCCGCCGGAATTAAGGATTTTAGAGCATATGCAGTGGGAAGTTCTCTCAAAGTCTCTCAAAATATATTATTATAATATATATAAATTAGTTTAATTGTATAATTAAATTTTAAGTAATATTTTTTTAAAAACTAATTGCATGTTGCCATGTGTGACATGAGTCTGTCAAGAGGTTCTCAAAAGTTCTCATATGAAAACTCATGCTCATATCTCTTTCTTACTTTTTAATATTTTCATTTTTTATATTTTTGAGAACACTTGTAAGAACTTCCCACTGCTCTTAGAGAATTCAGCTAGTGCCGGAGAAGAGAAGCAGACGGAGGAGACGACGGAAGACGTGACAAGATATTGATCTTCTAGATGATGCAACTGTCGATGATGATGTTGATGAAGATGCGAATTGCGAAGATTCTGATAGTTATAGATGTTAGAGATGTGAATGGAGGGCGGTGATGAAGGGAGCACCTGGAAGCGGTGTCCACGTGAAGCACTGAATCATTGTCTCACTTTTGTCTTTTTATTTGTATAAGAAAAATAATTAAAATTCTTAAACAACAAAGTGCGAATCTTTGGGAACTGTTGAGTTTGAAACACGTGTTCCAAAAAGTTAAAAAGAAAAAAAAAACCTGTCTCTGTCTCTCTTTAACTTTCTCGCCACGATGAAAATCACGGCGGCGGCCACGGCGGTCTTTCGGAGGCCGATCTCTTCCATTCCTTACGAAATCGAGTTGAATCCTTTTGATTTAGAGCATTTACGGGCACTCAATAGCTCCGGCCTCCGCAAACGCAAACACGAAGGCAAATCCAAGAACCGGTCTGTGGTTAAAGAGAGATGGCAGGGGAATTTTTACCTGGAATACTTTCTCTCGTATATAACGACTTCCGATGTCTCCTTCCTGGAGCTGGATCCAAATTTCGAACACAGTATCTCTTGCTATGCATCCGTCCTCAACGCTTTAACCAAACATGGAATTCCGTTTCATTTGCATAAGGCTGTCACATCGATGGCAGGAAAGTGCGGTTCGGTGCAAGAATCTTTGTTTGTTGTTGATTTCTGGAAGCAGCTCAGTGAAAGGTATAGCTACCAACTTAAATACAGGCTTACTTCCAAATGCTATAACTCTCTGTTTAAGATATTAGCAAGGTTTGGTCTGATCGGCGAAATGAAGTGGCTCTATACAGATATGTTTGTTTCACCTGGAGTTTACACGTATAATATCATGATTAATGGGTATTGTAAGTTAGGGTATGTGGTAGAAGCTAGGCAGTATGTGTGTAAGATGATTCAAGCTGGTTTGGATCTTGATTATCACACGTATACATCTTTTATCCTCGGTTACTCTAGAAGAATGGATGTGGATTCTGCTTTCCAGGTTTTTAAGGACATGCCTTGTAGAAATGTGGTTTCCTACAACCACCTTATTCACTGTCTTTGTGATGCCGGCAGGATTGATGAAGCTGTGAGCTTGTTTGCGAGGATGAAAGACGATGATGGCCTCCATCCCACGACTTATACATACAATGCATTGATCAAAGGGTTTTGTAAGAAGAATGTGCACAGGGCAATGAGACTCCTCCATGAGATGCGAGAGCTCAATTTGGTTCCGAATCTAGTCACTTACAACTTATTGGTCCTTGGACAGTGTAGGTCTGGTAATTTAGATACAGCATATAGACTTCTTGCTTTGATGGAACAGAGCGGGGACCTAAACAATCGCGCATACGGGTGTATCATAGATTCTCTTTGTAAAAGTAAGCGGGTAGAAGAAGCCCATGCTCTTTTCGATTCCCTTGGGAAGAAGGACAAGGCAAACGTAGTCTTGTACAATTCTTTGATTGATGGATACTGCAAAGCCGGGAAGCTGGACGATGCTCGCCTTCTATTTGAGATCATGGAGGGTTACTGCTCACCCGACTCATATACTTTTACTGCCTTGATTCATGGGATATGCATTGATGGAGATTTGAAAGAAGCCTTGTCTTTGGTGGAAAAGATGGTCAAGATGGGCATACAACTTACGGCCTGTACACGCACAATCCTGATCAGGAAAATGCTCAAAGAAGGGGATTTTGATGAAGCTCATAGATGTTTTCGCCAAATGTCGTCCTCTGGACAGAAGCCTGACGCACAAACTTACAACTCATTTGTCGAGGCCTATTGTAGTGCAGGGAGAGTGCAAGAAGCCGAGGGTATGATGGCGAACATGAAGGAAGATGGTGTTACTCCAGATGTCTTCTCATACACTTTGCTGATCAAAGCTTATGGCGACCTAGGGATGACCTGTTCTGCATTTGATGTCCTAAAGCGCATGTATGATGCTACCTGTGACCCTTCTCATCAAACTTTTTTGGCATTGATCAAACATCTCTTTGAAAAGAAGTACGCGGCAGGCAGAGGTGGTGAAACAGCACTAGAGTTGGGGGATGCACCAGGTACTATTAAATGGGAGATGGTGGATTTTGATATCATTGTCCAACTCTTTGAAAAAATGGTAGATCATGGGTGTACCCCTGATGAAAATAGCTATGAGAAGCTCATATTGGGGATGTGTAAAGTAGAGAACTTGGGAATAGCACAGAGACTGTTTGATCAGATGGAAAAAAGAGGAATGGCTCCGAGTGAGATGGTTTCTAATGCACTTCTTTGCTGTTTCTGCAAGCTGCAAAAGCATGAGGAAGCTGCAAAGTTGGTGGAAGATATGATTTGCAGTGGCCAGTCACCGGAATTAGAGTATTGCAAAATGGTGATTCTCAGGTTGTACGAAGGAGGAGGAAAAGAGAGAGGAAGATCAGTTTTCCAGAAGCTGCTTCGTTGTGGCTACTACGATGATGAAATCGCTTGGAAAATTCTTATTGATGGTATGCTTAAGCAGGGGCACATTGACGCATTTTCTGAACTGTTCCAAGCAATGCAAAAAAATGGCTGCCACTTCAGCCCTCAAACATATCTATCGCTTACTAAGGGGCTTCGCTGTAAGACTGATCCTATTGTTGCAATCACTTCGAGTGCTGGATGTGTCTGAGGCTATAGGGCTGGCCTGTTTTTGGGACACCAACTGTTTTGCCGTAACTTAGTGCAAGGCCCACTTCTGTAAGCTAAGTTTCTCAAACTACTTTCTATAAGCCATTCTTTCTGTTCCTTTTCTGTTGCATTTTTTGCTGGATTTGGACTACCAGAACTCACACAATCTTGTAGGATGTCTCCATCTTTTAGTTAAGATAAATGCTAACAATGCAAGTACCAATTGTAAAAGGACAACCAGAACATACACTTGCATGAATACTTTCAAAATAAGTTAGTGGAACCTCTGAAAACTGTAAATCATATACTTGGAGAGAAATAAAATCACTAAATAAGTGAATTCAAGATGGAGGTGAGAAACTAGAAGTCCCTGACTTCAATTGGAATCCTAAGACAAAGTTAAAAGATCTTTTTGTTTTCTTTTGACTGTGAAAGCTTATTTTCTGCATATAATCTTTATACAATCTTCAGGATGGGGATCTGAAATGGGTGATTTACAGATTCATTGTCTCAACAAAGCGTCGTCTGCTAACTACGGTTGGTTGTGCTAAGATTTACTACAAAGAGGGGTGGTCTCTGCTATCGTTTCGTTCTTCTTGGCGTGGCAGAAGTACGCAGATTGGCCAATGAGGTTAGCTGTCTGTTCCTTGTCGTTTTAATGATGGTGTAGTTTTAGCAAAGTTTGTTTATTGGCAGAAGCAAAAAAGCGTTTTGAGCAAAGCTCAGATTAGTGATCTGTTTGTGCAGGCTGAACGGTTGGCCTAATGGTGCAAGGTTACGAGCCTTTGATGAAAACACTTGCAAAAAGAATTGAGTCATAGGTAATTCAAATCATCAGTCTTTTACTTAAATGTGCTTGGAAATATTTAATGTCATACAGCAATGGCCCTAAACACAAAACATCGAATTCGGGTGTACGAGGACAATATGACTTATTGGTGAAGGCTTCTGGTGCTGACAAGTTCGATGTCAAAAACGAGAGTTCCAAGAGTAGAACCTTCTCCATTGGCGAGACGTGTTGGGTTAAAGATAGTCGTGAAGAGTCTCTGTCTGTCAAAGAACTTCAAACCACAACAAGAAACAAACAAAGAATTTTTAAACCAATCTTGGTAATAAATGTTTCTGCAAACAGTCTTTATAATATGATTGGTTCTCTAAAACCTTCACATTCATCAGATTGATACTAGTTCAAGTCCCATTGGCTACTGAACATGACGCAAAACAAGACCTTATGAAGATAAATGTCTATGAAACTAATAACAGTGACTTATCATGATATAAAATTCTAAGCTGCTTTTGTTTCAGTCTGAATTGAAGTACGAAAGCACTAGGTAGGCCCAAAGCTAATTCATGCGGGAAGCTAAAATAACATTTTGACTTTGAGATTGAGATATCATACGAAAAGGTCAAGGAGAGAGAGAGAGAGGTCAGAGTGTGAGCACATACGTTTGGTGGGAGAGGCTCTTGCGATGTATTCTGGTATCCTTGAGACGGAGGTATAATCACCCGACGAATCCCGCCTACTTTCATCGACCTTACGGCTGTTTCAATCCCCGGAATTACCTACACATCACAATATTTCAGTCATCAGACGTAAAACCAGCTTTGTTCAATGACAAAACAGAGATCAAAACATCATCATAGGTGGCTGAGAAGAAGTATTATCAACTTCAAACACCTAAAAATCCACTTAGTTTGTTACATCACTACTCAATGAGGAAATGTTTCAAAGGTCACACCTTTAAATCAAATTCAGATAATTTTCAAGACCCATGTTACAAAAACTTGGACTTTATGTAACAACATGATTGGTATAGAAGCAAATAGAGATAAAGGTTTATACTTTGCTAGAACCAAGGATGAATGTGAAAGGAACAGCTTCACCATTACTGTCTTTATGATCATATGTTGAATCAAATCTCCATCCTTGCTTCGCAGCCAATCTCCCATAGTAATGTATTTCAATCTAAAACCAAAAAGTTTCAAAATTGAATTAAAGGGTTCGTTCATTTGCTGAAAACTACAATTACAAACACAAAACCTGATCTCCTTCAATGGGGACTTCACCGTCGCCGGTTCGGAGGTCGAGAGCTTTAACTCCACCGGAATTAGGGATTTCAGAGAATTCAGCTAGTGCCGGAGAAGAGAATGAAACGGAGGAGACGACGGAAGACGTGACGGCGATAATTGTCAGAGATATTGATCTTCTAGATGCTGCAACTGTCGATGATGATGATGATGATGATGATGATGATGATGATGATGATGATGATGATGATGATGGAGAACGAGATGCGAAGATTCTGATAGATGGTGGAGATGTGAAATGGACGGTGGAGATGAAGGGAGCACCTATTAGTGGTATCCTCGCGAAGCACCGAATCATTTTGTCTCACTTTTTTTTTTTCAGTAAGAAAAGAAAAAAAAATGAAGGGACATATTCTTGCTCTTGAGAAGAGTCAGAAGTGGATGGAATTTGATTGGGTTTGGGATTACGATAGATAGGTACTGCCAAAACTTTTCTAGTGGAAACAAGAATAAGACTATGTTGAAATTCTTTTTGTAAGGGACCCTTCCTTAACATGAAATTATAGTGAAAAAATTTGAAGTTTTTGGATTAGGTGTTAGAGTTTAATTGTAATTTTAGAAAGCAAATCATGAATTGTCCATAAAAATTTCATTGATTTTCTAGATTTTTATCCTTAAATCAATAATAATGTAGTATTGAATTTTATAATCAATGACTCGACCTGCTAGTTGCAAAATTAGGGATTAAGTTCCACGTATTATGTTGGCTATTATCATGTCACAAGTGTCAAGAAAAAACCTAACTTTATGCATAGTTTTGGAATAATTTGATTTTATATTCATGATTTACCCGTTTAGAAAAGATAAATGACATAATAGAATAAGTTCTTCAAACCCCTTTACCTAGGGCTATATATTTAGACATTTAGTAGTTTTTCTTTGTCAAGTTGAATATACTGATCTAAATAACAAATTTATCAAAAATAAGTACATCATATTGGTTTACGGGCAAGAAACATTGCTCAGAGTTATTACCAAAGAAGATGTTTAGCAACCAGGAATCGAAATACTTGATCCCGGTGCAGAAAGAAGCGTCACCGGTGACAACTCTACCAATGAAAGCTTCACCGGTGAAATCTCCACACAACTGTGAGGCCATTCTCAGAGACGCAGATCCTCCAATCTCTGTCTCTGTTAATCTCTCTGAAAAGCTACGGTCTGGTGTTTTCTTGAAACCCACGAAACAGGTCAATATTTTTTTTCCCTCAAAAAGAATTAGCTTACTTGTGTTTCTATTTTCAGAAAATAACTAAGCACAACGGTAACTTTATGTAAACAAGATTGCAAACAGAAAATGTTGGTTTCTAAAATTTGAATCTCTCATTTTTTAAAATAATAAGTAGATTTTGTTACTATATAACCAAATCATTCTTAATATATTAAGACGGGCCATGAATTCATTTGTTTTGGTGATCTGTGTATAATATATATTGAACAGATCAAATATTGGGTGGACGAGAGAAACAGCAACTGCTTCATGCTCTTTGCAAAGAACCTCTCTATCACTTGGTCTGATGACGTCAATTATTGGACTTGGTTTACCGACAAAGAGTCACCAAAGTAAGATAGGTTTCATTTAAATCCCATAGTATGAATATTACCACAAAATGGATATCTTTTTTACAAATTTGAATTTATTGATTTACAATAACGTGAAGTATGAATCAAAGTATGCTTGATAAAACCAAAACAGGTTAGACGACGTTTAAAGTTTGTGTATGTAAATTATAGCAATAATTATTAACACGAACTGGTAAAAATATTTTCTTTCTTTTGGTAACCAAAAAATTCGAGGTATTAGACCTATAATTATTAACGCAAAGTGACAAACTTTTGTTTATTGATGATTTTTAAAGCGAGACTGTGGAAGCTGTGGGATTGAAAAACGTTTGTTGGCTCGACATCACGGGAAAATTTGACACGAGGAACCTCACTCCGGGGATTGCTTACGAGGTGTTCTTTAAGGTGAAGCTAGAGGATCCGGCCTATGGATGGGACACGCCGGTGAACCTCAAGCTAGTGTTGCCTAACGGTAAGGAACAACCGCAGGAGCAAAAGGTGAGTTTGAGGGAACTTCCAAGGTATAAATGGGTCGATGTCAGAGTCGGCGAGTTCGTACCGGAGAAATCTGCTGCCGGAGAGATCACTTTCTCAATGTATGAGCATGAGGCTGGCGTTTGGAAGAAAGGGCTCTCCCTCAAAGGTGTTGCAATTCGTCCCAAACAGTAATAATTAATATGGCATATAAGAACAAATAAATATCCATATGCACCAATGGACCTTCTCTACATATGTTTCACATCATGTCATGTGTTTATATATATGTGTATAATAAGGTTGATCTATCGTATTATTAGTTTAAATAACAACTTTGATGTTGGTGTTGAATAAATTCAAAACGAGTGTTGATGATGTAATAAAGTTTGAAGTTTAAATTCTGAGTGTATGTACTTATTATATGATCTGATCAAGAAAAACTTATATAACGAATGAGACCATAAGAAAATATAGACACGAAAATCATCCGCCGCGCCTTTGTGTTTTAATCATACGCCAACAAACAAAAAAAAATCCATGTACAGATTTGTTGATTAATATTTGTCTGTAAAGTAAAGAGAAGCCTTTTCAGCTATTATATGAGTTTTTAAAAAATGGTCCACGCAATAATGTCAACGGCTCCATTACATGAGACTTATCTTCAGTTTCGTTCAAGCTTCGGACGCCATCGGCTACGTTAGTTACGATGCATCTTCGTTAACGCTAAGAGCGTGACATTGTTTGTATCCTCAAACCGTATAGACTACTCCCTTGTGAATACATCCAGAGGAGTGAAGTGCTAAAAAATGTAGAGAGCGTTTATTTACAATATTTTTTGATAACCCAGTATCCAGACCACACAGTGATCTGACTAGCCCACTGGGCCTAAGCCCGCGTCACATGGATTTTTAAGCCTCCACTTAAGGGCCCCCTGATAAACTGGTGGTCTGGGGTGCCTGAGCAAGTCCGCATGTAAATTCCCAGGTGGCCACAGGAGTGAGAGAGCGAAACTGCGTCTGGGGAGGATCGATCCCTGACCTAGACTAACAGGGCGATCCTTCCAACCAAACGAGAACCACTGTCCCACCACCATGTGGTTTTATTTACAATATTAGTCATGGATCTTTTGCATATGTCTATTTAGGTAATGCCAAATCATTGATGGTTTTTCGTGTCTATATTTCGGAGTAGAAGAAACAATTTCTTTCATGTATCTTTGAGGGTCGTTAGAAACTAGTTCAATACATTTAAATATTGTCGTTTTCTCTTCTTTGTGAATGTTTGTTTTGGTAACTAAGTTAAAAGCCAAAGCGTTGATTACTTGATTATAAGATTATAAAATGTGTTCGTGTCGAATCTGTTTGAGAGCTGCACATTATTAATATAAATAAAAATATTAAATCAGATTGGAAACATTAATCCTCCTGTATATTCTTTGATACAAAACTGAATCTTTCATTTTATACGTTAATCAGACGAGCTTCATTTGTAGTTTTTGTACTATTTCATTCGAGACACAATCTTAATGTGTAAAGAGATGCGTATGTCGGCACAATAAGTTATTAATAAAGTAGATATTTTAGGGTTTATAATTTAAGGTTTAAGAAACTAAATTTTCTAACAGTTTCTTTTTATGTATCTTAAAGTAGAAAAGTGTTTTCAACGAGTTGACATGGATTTATTTTGGATTTATGCACCTGAAACTAGTTAGATCCTATCAAACCCCATAAAAAAAAATATTTCCTTAACATGTGTAAAATATCCACATAATCTCTCAATTAAGTGGCATTTTTGAATAAATTTTGATAGATCATCTTAAAGGGATCATGTTCACTTTTTTAAAAGAGTATTTCGTGGAGAAAATGGAAGAATAAAGCTAACATATCAAATGAAAAGAATAAAGAATCAAACAAGTTTAACAAGACATAAAAGAAAATGGAAAGAATAAAGAATCAAACATGTTTGACAAGACATAAAATAAAATGGAATATATACCAATCAAAATTTGGTTTGCAATGTATACCATTTGTTTAATTTATGTATCCATAAATTTTATTCTTCTACACAAATCTATGAGAGAGTTTTCTCTCTATCTAGAGTGTCCACATAGGCGACACATCAGCGTACACGTCATCATATATTTTTAATAGGTATAAAATGTTACTAAAAAGATTCGAACCCCTTATCCAATACATTTAAGGGAGACTCACAAAAATGCCCCTTTTTCAATACCCCTTTTCAAAAATGGCCCATTTGGCTGTCCATTTTTAAAAATACCCCTTTTATGTACAAAATGACTAAATTACCCTTCTTTTAATAAAAGATATCACAAATATATAAAGAAATATAACAAAATTAGGTCCACAAAATACAAAATATTTTTTGGCGGAAAAAGTGATCATATAAATAAAAAGTAATATAATATAACACACAAAAATATGTGAATAAAAGTTAGGTAGACTCACAAAAATGCCCATTTTTCAATACCCCTTTTCAAAAATGCCCCCTTTAGCTGTCCATTTTTAAAAATACCCCTTTTTATATACAAAATGACTAAATTACCCTTCTTTTAATAAAAGATATCACAAATATATAAGGAAATATAACAAAATTAGGTCTACAAAATACAAAATATTTTTTGGCGGGAAAAGTGATCCCGCAATTTTTCCCGCCAAAACACTTGTAAAAACCTTTAAAATACCTTGTAAAATTTTCCCGTAAAAGTTTTTCACGCCAAAAAATTTTCCCGCCAAAAAAAATTTTTGCGGGAAAAGTGATTCCGCAATTTTTTTGGCGGGAAAAATTTACAAGGTATTTTAAAGGTTTTTTACAGGGTATTTATAAGGTTTTACAATGTATTTTAAAAGGTTTTACAACGTATTTATAAGGTATTTATAAGATATTATAAGATTTTACAAGCTATTTTATAAGGTTTTACAAGCTATAAGGTTTTACAAGTTTTTTATAAGGTTTTACAAGTTATAACTACCTTGTAAAATCTTATAAGTACCTTGTAAAACCTTTTAAAATACATTGTAAACCCTAATTTTGTTTCAAATAAGGGTAAAATGGTCATTAAAAATTAAAAGAGGGCAAACTTAAAAATGGACTCTCAAAGGGGGCATTTTTGAAAAGGGGTATTGAAAAAGGGGCATTTTTAACAATTTCTCTAGAAGTTAATATACAAATAGATAATTCAAAAATAGAAGTTAATGAATTAATAAAACACAGCACAAAAATATATAAGATAAAAATATGAATAAAAATTAGAAGCATATAGATAATTTTCAAATACATATAATTTATATATGAGAAGTAGAAAACAAAAAAATATGTTATCACGCTAGAAAGACATTAACCTTTTCAAGAGTTATAAAATATTTAGATTAAAAAAAGTTTATATGATAGTAAACTATAGAATTTAGATTACACGAAATAAGAATATCTATTTTTCAAGAAAAAAGTATGTATCCAAAATCAAGATAAAATATATATATAAAATTGTATAATATATTTAAGGAAAGAATTGTGATTTAAAAGTACAATTAGATACAAGATTTCTTTAAACAATAACGTTAGAGTGCAATGTTTCATGGAAAATGCAATGTATGAGAATAGGAAGAATCCAAATATAAAATTTAATATGTAGGAAAAAGAACATTTTATAATAGACAAGAAAAAATAAAATATAAAAATGAAATAGATAAAGAGAATATAATTTTAATATAAGTTTATAATGAATCAAAAATTTAATCAATTATTTTAACGAAAAGAACGTGAAAAGAGATAAAATGTCGCGAGGTGGACGACTGCATATTAGAATATGACGAATAAAATGACAGCGAAATAATCTCAAGAGAAATTGACTAAATTCAAAAAGATGTATGAACATGACATGGTCGAGATTGTATTATATTTCTCTGAATTTTTTCAACTAATTTTTTACCACGTGTTACCTAAAAATTTGTTGTTTTTTTCAAGAGAAACATTATTCTCAATAAAATCTATGTTATATATCATTTCATAAATAGGTTTATGTCATTATAGATTTATCTTTTAAAATTCAATATATATATTTATACTCACGGTTTATATTGTTAATAGTTTATAAGTAAAATCCCGCGCATTGCGCGGGGTTACAAATCTAGTACACTAAATGAAGAACTCTACTATAGATCCTAGAGGAGTCTAGGTATTTTTGGATATTTTGACATAATTTAGTTAATTTGTATAAAACTTACTGAGAATTATTTGGATTTGGACAAAATTTGAATGTATCATCAGATAAAAAAATAACTTAATCGAATGAGTAATTTAGTTATACGGAACATTCAGGTCGGGTAAGGTATAATCATGTAATTCCTCTACAAATACCAGAAATTATCTATAAAAGAAGACGAAAACACAAAAATAATCAAGAAATGGGAATAATATGGTCGATATTCTCAAAGCCAAAGCCAAAGCCACATAATAACAACGAAGACATGCTAAAACATGCAGACTCGCCTCTTACTCTTGATACGACGCAGAGCCGTGCCTACGTTATAAGAAAAGAAACACTCGCCTACGTCACTAAATTTTATAGAACATCTAGGAGGCTATATTTGTTAATTGTGTAGATCATATCCTATTGTAGACTTCTAGTAATAACGTTGGAAAAATTAATACAATTAGTGAAATAATAAAAGAAAGTAGTATAACATGCAATATATAAGATTCCTAAATACAAAGATTCTTAAATGTCCAAACATAAGGTAATAAATCAAAGTTGTTAATCTTTATTTCCTTGAATCCTTTTTTTTTCTATCTCGTTAATACTTCTTTTCTCATCTTTACTAACTTTTTTTTTCTTAATCATCTTTATCTAAATTTATCAATTATTTTTATATATTAAATACCACATTTTTTTGTTTATTAACAACATATATTATACCGTTTGAATGGTAACACAACAACTATACTAACACAAATTAGTATATTACATGTTATGATCAATCTAATTTCTATTTTTTTTGTTGAAAATTTATTTTATAAGTTTTGCTCAAATTTGTAGATTTATTATAAAAATTTTAAAACATTAAATTATTTTATTAAAATTTTATATATTATTTAAATATTAAACTATATTTATCCGCTTATGGCATCAAAATTCCTTGGCACGGCTCTGATACGACGTCGTCTCCTCAGGCCGACGATGACGTTTCCTTGAAGCCCAAGACAGAGGTCCTAAATCTTTTTTCTTAGGTTTCATTTTCTAATTTCACCTTGTTATATATATATATGATGCTGATGATGGAGTTACTTATTCAGAAGAACTTGATAGAGGAAGATGAGTGTAAAGCGAAGAAAAACTGTTTCATGTTGAACGCGAGAGAACTCTCAATTACATGGGCAGAGTCTCAGACAAATAAATATTGGAGTTGGTTCTCTGATCTTGACCAAACATCCAGGTTTTTAGTTTTATAATGAAAAACAAAACTGTAACGTTTTCAAATTGGGGTTCTTAAGATTTCACTGAAATCTGCATATTTGTTTACAGTGATGTAGGAACTGAGGTTGCAAAGATGGAACGAGTAGCTTGGTTAGAAGTGGTTGGAAACTTCGAAACGGAGAAACTAACTCCCAACAGTTTGTACGAGGTTGTGTTTGTGGTTAAGCTAATAGATTCTGCGAAAGGATGGGATTTTCGGGTTAACTTTAAACTGGTTTTGCCAACCGGAGAAACCAAAGAGCGGCGAGAGCATGTGAATCTGTTAGAAAGGAACCAGTGGGTGGAGATTCCGGCCGGTGAGTTCACGACATTGCCAGAACATCTTTCCGGCAAGATTGAGTTTTCGATGTTGGAGGTTAAAAGTGGACAGTGGAAGTCCGGTCTGATTGTGAAAGGTGTTGCTATTAGACCCAAGAATTAAGAATCCTAACTTGTAAGCTTAAACAATAATAAGAACACGAAATTTATTATTATGATGGATGATTTATGTACACAGGCTGAGACTTATTTGTATATACAGACACAAAAGACACACTTGACGACACATTACAAAGGTAAGATGCGTTTTTATGCATCAACAGAGACACTTACAGCATTGAGCTCTACATGTTGTCTACCATCGTTTTGTGGTTGGACGGTTAAGGTTGCACGAGCTTCAGCTTGAGGGTTTTGATCATCTCCAGGTTGAGAGACTGATATGGAGCTCACGGTTGACCCGGCTGTGCCAATATTGTTGTCGTCCGATATGATATCCCATGATTCTTTCACGGAAGCAACCTCGAGTCCGTTCTCCTGGTATTTCCCCATTTCAAATGTGGTGGGGAGGATGACATAATCGTTTATTGGGTTGTAGAACGGGTCAGGTTCGCCTACATTTAGCCATTTTCTGAGCATTCGGAAGACACGGTGATCGTTGAGAATTCCTCGGTGCTCACCAGGGACTCCAACTCTTGCCACTGCTTCAAGCCCATCCGCCTAGGAAAGAAACAACCAAAGGAACCATTACAAAGAGAAATGATCAACCTAACTGATCAAATTCAAGATTTCGTGTACTTGTGATGAGTTTATAAGAAACACGATAATGCAACATACCATCGCAGATTCCATCGGGACTGTGCCATCACCGTCGACACATATATATGTCGGCTGAGATTACAGGAAAATATGATCCAAGATTAGAAGATGATAAGAAGGTAACTTCTTGCTATTACAATGATAGTTGATACCTGAAAAAGGATGATAAATTTCTTACCTGGAAGTATCGTAGATTCGTTAGATCTTTAACTGGCATCTTCTCATTCCCATAGCTGCAGGGGAGTATAAATATCAACTTTAGAAAAGGTGAAACAAGTTGCACGAAGAAACACTTGTAACTGAGACCTCAAACCAAGAAATATTACCAAACACTATGAGGGGTTTCTAGATTGGTCCCATATATGTTATAGAATTTAACTTGAGTAGGCAGCTTGGCAGAGGCTAATACTTTCTTGGTTTTGTGAGCCCACTCCATGATCTTCCAGTTAAAAGGAAGATCGATCGACTCTCCACAATAATCAGCCTGAACATTTTTGTCAAGTATAGGATCAGTCAATGCAACGTTTGTGTGTTTACAACTACTTCATTTAATGAAAGATGGTGGTCGCGTGTAACTTACTGTATTATTCGAAAGAGATTTCGTAAAAACTTCAAGGCTCTCCAGGCTACGGTAAGACTCAAGAACAACATCAGAGGTTCCAACTCCATCATTGCTCTCTTTCTCTCTCCATAGCTCTAAGACAGGAGGGAGTTCCCATTTGAAATACGGACAACACATCAGCTCGTATATAGATGGACACTCAATAAGCTGAAAAAAAAACAGAAGAAACGAGGGGGAATTATATCAGCCAATCTCTAGATCAAACAAACAAGATTGATAACCAAATTGAACTATTGTTGATTGATCATTACCAACTGATGCATGCTCCACTTAGAGACGAAAAAGTTCTGCTCCCAACCATTGACAAACGACATTCCATTCAGTAAAGTCGATGTGATATATCCAGGAGCACCTGAATCAACAATGTGAAACCAATCAGTCTGGTAGTTGTCTGGAGTACTATCAGAAGTACTACAAGTCCGAGAACTAACCTCGAAATGGAGCAGCAATAGCAATCCAATTCTGTACATACTTCTCAAATATCTGATGACCAAAAATGCCAGATTGAGATGCGACAAGATAAATCTTAGAAAAGACTTACAAATAAAGAAAAAACGATTTACATACATCACTATGCAGACCCATGAAACATTTCACCAACAATCCTCCCATAGAATGACTTATAACATTAATCTTCTTCTCTCCTGAAGCTTTATAAACTGTTTCCAACTTCTTAGCAAATTCGTCCAACGTTTCCTGCAATCTAGACCCAATGCAAACACAAAACAGTCAATACACCGATCAATGTTTACACCAAAGAAGAGATTAAATATGCATTACCTGTTGCTTTGGCGGAAATCATAACCAAAACCAAAAAGGGTTTTCCCTTCTTCGAATCCCCATCCGATCATCTCAACAATCATTTCATGGAAATAGTACACAGACTCGCGGCCAACAATCTACATAAAGAGTTCATAGATCCCAATGAGAAAAGAAAAAGCTTTATAAACAACAATCTAAGAATAAATACCAAAACAGCTAGAGATTGAACCATACCATATCTGGGTCTAAGACATCAATTGCATGTAGCCCAGCTCTCTCTTGAGGAACAACAATACTCGTTTTTGGATCAAGAGAGATCGTTTTACCTGTTTCAGATAAAAAATGCTAAGAGCTTAACATGCAAAGCTGATCACTTTCTTAATTTGGATAAATTGAAGTGTTTATGAGAAAAAAGGTAAACACTTTTTGTTTACCAGTTGAAGGATCAAATCGAGACCACATCTTTGTTCGAAACTCGTGATCAGCACCAAAGATCCTAACCCAAACACGTTCTTCATTCCCGTTCTCATGATCAACAGCGTTGAGAATCGAGCCAGCGATTCCTGGAACTAGAAGAACCGGGTCTAGATTCGGGTCAACATAGGGTTTCTGATTCCGATTTCTGAGCTTCAACAAAGCTTCTACTGATCGAATGATCTCTTCCAGTAATAGAGACATAGTTGAATTGAATCGATTGCGAAGTAATTTCAAGGAGAGATGACGAATTCGTAGTTACCAAATTTGGGGAAATTAGGGTTGGCGAGAAATTGAAGAAAAAGGGATGAAAAATAAAACAAATTTTGGTAATATAAGCCGTACAAGTCAAGGTGGAGGAAAAATAATTGTCATATCTCCAAATGGATAACGCAAGATTGAAATTGAATAATTGAGACCTAAAAGCAATAATATAAAAATATTATTTTACTTTTCTTTCGAAATACAAAGAACTTTGCCCTTGGAATTATCATGAACATGGGCACATTGTTTCAGATTAAAACACAATTGTTATTTTCCTTTACATATTTGGTCTCTACTTTTGTTTTGTTCACAGAAGCCCTACTCAAAACAGAACTCAGCATCTGTTGATGAAGATGACACAACACAGCTCAAGTGTGAGAGATTTTATCTTTGCTGAGATTTTCTTCAAGAAGAGAGAATCTGTGTCAATCATGGGGCGAAGAGTAATCCATGTTTTTGCTCGTGAAGGATGATCCCGAAAGGGTAAATCGAAAAGATCATACCTACGGATTTTTGGTTTTGCAAGACATCCCTACTTGTTAGTAAAGAAAGACTCAATTAGTATTGATAACACAAACAACAAATCAGATTCATAAATAACAAAGGACTAGACAAACACTAATTTGACATAGTAGCTAGTTTGACAAAATGTGGCTGTTAACCTTAACTAATTAATCTCCTTCACTCTTGTTGCCCTCCTCTTGCCTCTGATTCCTTCTCCTCTTTCCAACTAATGTCAACAATCCATTCATACTAATGTTATACATGCAAACATATATATGAACAGGGAAAATAATACTTTCTAAAAGAAGCATAAACTTTTTCATCAAACAATTTAAACTCAAAGGGATCCCGGATCCATGTAGATAAGTGTAGAGAAAGATGATGAAGACCTCACTAAGGGATATTGACCAAACATGGGTCTGTTTTGCACTTTTGCTTAAGTTAAGGACTAAAACAACTCTTTCCAGATAATACTGTTAGATCCTAGAAACTGATTTTGAATTAAGAACGATTGATCATACCTTGATACAAGTCAATCAAACCGAGACAACGAGACAATGCAAGAGCTGACATGATATAGGGACGTTATGCAAAACCTCAACCCTCTCAACAATTCCCCAAACTCCACCTCCATCACGCTTTTCTATAGCGATTTCAGCGCACCAAATCTTCTTCCTATTATTGGGATTATGCTTCATATACCCTTCCCATAAAAGTAAGAGTTTCCCACCACAGCTAACTAGTTTAGTCGTATTACCACTTGAGCCACCATTCCTCATGTACATCTCATCTAGTGAGTCTAACCCTTCCAATCTTTTCCAATAATCCTTTTGTAAGTCATTGTCATACCACAACAAGCGCATATTCCAATAGCCATATGAAACATTCTCAATCATACATTCTGACTTCAACTTTTGTTTTACACGGCTTTCCCATTTACATTGCTTCGTGTGGTAAGCATACGTCTCGTTTACATTCCCAAACTGAATCGTTTCTTCAATCTCTGCAATACTGTAAATGGAACACTTACGTACCTCAGTATCCGGCTCAGGAAGGTGTTGCCAAGTCTTAGTCTTTGTATCGAACACCTCAGCCCATGGTTCGTCCTCTAATCCTTGGCACCCTCCCATTACATATATTTTCCCATCGTGGAAACATGCCAACGCATTCATTCGGACTATAGTCATGCTCGGTGCATCGCGCCAAGTGTGACTGCAACAATCAAGCACCCGCACGGTGGAGGATGGTTCAGAGTCGACTGGGCCGCCAATTACATAAATTTCTGAACCAACAACAACGGTGGCTTTTGATACAGATGTAAAATTAGACGAGGTAATCGGAACTAACATTGGTCCAGTTGTCTTCTTCTTCTTCTTCCTTCTCTTCTTAATCATGGAGTTGGCTAGGGTTCGATTAGGGTTAACCCATAGTCTAAGCCATTGGGGAAATTGATAACTGCGATCCCATAGACAGACATAGACACACTGTTCAGTGCTTCCGATGTGAGATCTGGCTGCGAAGAGCTCGGTGGAAGAGAGAATTGAACGGAAGCTTTTCGAAACGAGTGAGAGTGTTGGGTAGTATGACCTCGAGATCCGAGCTAAGCAGTTCACGAAGATTTCGTCAGGGAGAGAAGAAAGCGACGGAGATGACGACGACGATGGAGGTGATTGTGGTGGAGACGAATTCTTAGTCTTCTTCTTCTCCGGTGGTTCCACTTGGAGGTTCATAGCGACAGTGATTGCAATTAGCGGAAGTGACGGGATTTTGTGTAAAATGGGTCAAGTGAGAAAAAGACTAACATGAAGAGGACCTTTTTGGTTTATTGATAACAAAACAGCCCCTAACTAAAATTAGTTATTGAAAGGACCCCAAATTCACGAGAAACTATATACAACGATGAACTAAAAATACGGAAAAACGGTCTTTTTCCCCCCGAGAACTATTGTATCACGCCAGATAGAGTCCGTTCTTTGACCTCTGTCTATATGTCCATGAAACGGAAGTTAAACACTTATTTCCCCCCTAATTGGAAGTTCGATATCTTAATCTCCCCGATTCGTGGTTACGTCGGTTTGATGTGTAAACCCGACACGAAACCATGTATGGGTCGTAACCAAACCAAAAAACAGACCGGTTTCCTTATTATAACCCGACATCCCGACCCATTGTCGTAACCAAACAAAAAATCCCCAATTCCCAAATTCAAAATCCCCAAATTCAAAACTCAAGAACCCTAAAATCCGATTTCTCTTTGAAAACCCGAATTTGAGTTTGAAGATGAGCAATCTATCATCGAGTTCGACGGGTTCTACAGGTCCTCGTGGAAGAGGAAGAGTGGTCGGAGTGCCAAAGAGCTGCTGGTGCGGAGAAGGAATCGTGGCATTGATTTCTAAATCCGATCCGAATCCTTACCGGAGATACTTTCGTTGCGGTTTTGCTGCAAAACATAGGGTAATGTCAATCTCTATTTCCTCTGTTTTCATGTTTTAGATTCTTCTAATATTGAAAGATCACTGTTCATATCTAGCTAAGGAACGATGATCACACTTTCAAATGGGTTGATGAAGCCTTGCTCAATGAGTTAGAGACATTGAGAGGAAAGAATTGTGAACTTGAGCTGGAGTTGAAAGAGCTTAGAACAGAGAGGTTAGAGTTTGATAAGAAGGTTTCCGAGAATGTCCAAATGAAGATAGAGAAGGAGTTATTTGAGAAGGTGGAAGATGCTTTGTCTGAAGCCAAAACAAGCAATAAGAAGATGATGATTGTAGTAGTGTTAGGGTGTATGATTATGATTGGATTCACCAAACTTGTAGGATGAATGATCCGATGAATGTAAACCCAAGCTTTCTAATATCTTATGTCTTTGTCTTTGTAATATGATCATGATTGGATTTATGTTTCTACTTTTGGTGGACTAGTGTGTAAGAGAATTATGTCTTTGTCTTTGTAATATGATCATGTTTGTACTCTTGTTTGATTTATGTGTAAGAGAATGCATTTAGTAATCTTGTTTGTTCTTTTGTTAAAGAAAAAGAACATCCAATTAGCCATTTTGATCAAAATAAGTTAAAGAAAAAGAGGAATCCGGATAACATTCAAAATAGCATTCATCCTAAACATCCATTTAGCCGTAGAAACAAAACATCCATTTAGCCGTAGAAACAATGTGGTCGAAAATTACAATGAGACAACCACAATATAAGTACCCTAGTTCTTCTACCCCTATGACAGTCTTTTACTCCTTGGATCAAGCTTGAGTGAGTGAACCTTGACTTGGTTCAGGTTGAGAAGGCTGCGAGACAAAATGAGAAGCCTGCAAAATTACATCAAGTGTTAGTATAATCCAACAAATGCCACAAACACAACAAGAATCTCACATACCTTATCTTTAGCATGGTGTCTTGAATTGTGATCAGCTTGCCCACAAACACGACAATGCATGATTCTTTTCTTTGCCTTTGGCTGCTTCTTACTAGGAGACTCATTCAAACCCTTTTTTCTTTTTTCTCAGCTTTTGTCATCTTGTTGTCTTCTCCTTCTACTGACTCAGGCACATGGACTCTAGGCCTATGACTCTCAGGCCAGAACTTAGGTCCTCTTTGTGGACAGACGCCATCCGTGTAGTTTCTTTTCCACATTGCTGTCCTGAACCATTGACACACAAAGTTCTCAGGTTCAAGCTTCTTGTAGAGAATGACTCCATATGCATGCTCACACGGGATGCCACAGATCTGCCACTTCCTGCATGTACAAGTGTATGCCTTTAAGTCTACTCGGTGATAATCAGAACCATGCCTCACTTCATACATTCCATTGGTGCTTGTAGATACTTTGGCAGTAGAAGCGAGCTTGTGTTCACCAGCTAGAAACTTGGCAACATAAGGTGTACATGCACCTGCAAAAAAAGATATAAAAGTTGTCAAGTAAACAACA